CTGATGTTGCATCCTCTTGATAACTCCAAGAGACGCCTGTACGTGAAAAATTTGGGGGTTTGCTCACGGAAGTATGTAATGGTTCAGATGGCAGCTTCGAGCGAACCATGCGCGCGGCTACACGAAGCCAGCGCCGCAGGTGCAGACTTCCCCAGGAAGCCGAGCTGTGTTTCCTTCCGTTTTGAGCCCAGTTTACAAGACCTTTAGGTTCAAAGATGGTATCTCCAGGCTTGACAAAGATCCTCCCCCGTAGCCTGAGCCGCTCATGGCACTTTACTACTACTACTACTACTACTACTAATATTATTACTGTATACTGTATACACCACAGCAGGCATGACTTGTGCCACTGCATGGCAGCAAGGTTCTAGCACAGCCTGGACTCTCCACTGTGACGAAGGTCGTGACGCCTACACTACATTGAGTAGCATCGTTTCTGTGAAATGTGGCCTGACAGGAGCAGATGCTAGCACAAATTGCCGCCGCTGTCGAAGAGGAGTGTCGTTTGCACGGATGCATCTTCTTCTTGCATCTAAGTTCGCTGTTCGGGATCGTGCCTGTCACGCAGTGGTCTCCGAGCAGATTGGAGACCAATTAATCGTTCTCGTTGTAAATCAGTGCAACTCCTGACTCACACTTGGAATCTAGCTGCCACGTCATCGACGGTCGGGACAGCGGAGGAGTTGTGAGGCTTGCTGGGAAGCAATTTGTTGAGCTTTGCGGGATCTCGTGACGAAGATCTGATCCGGGTTGTATTTCACGTAAATTCGCAAAGGTGGCTGTTCGGGGATTTCTCCCTGCATGGCAGGACTGCAGCTTGCAGCCCGGCAGGCTCCAGTGCTTGTAGGTTCTGGTAGACTCTGGACCCTGGCAGCAAGTCTATTTTGGTGGTCTCGGAAGTGCACACTCCTAGTGCATCTTACATTGTCTACTCATACATGGTGTGCAAGATCATGCAAAATGTCATATTTGAGGTGCATGTCCTGTGCAGCATATGTGGTAAATCAGATGGCAGATTGTATGTCGCATCAGTTACCAGATCCTGCATCTGGTAGGCCCTCAGCAAATCTGTCATATCGAATCCCAGTTCATATGTTCGATCCACTGCAAGCTCATGTGTCAGTTATTCTGATGTCAGATCATGCAGACAACCTTGTGTTAATGCTCTGATCAGCACAGTTGTGTACTACCCCAGCTGCCGATGTTTCCCTTGTTGCTTCTTTTCCTCGTCCACCTCGCAAAGGAAAATGACCGTCATCGGACCAAATAAGTCTCCTGTACAATGCAGGCCCAGCGCCAGTGCCTTCTTGGACCGTTTGGAAGGCGAGGAGCTGTGCAGGGAAGTAGGGTACGTGCGACATTTGGAGACGCATGCAGACGCTGAGGCCAGGGCATCCAGTGCCAGGAGGCTGAAGCTTGTGTGCTGCGTGGTGCCAGTGTGTCTGAGCCTCGTATCTCTGAGCCTTGCCTTTGCCAAGTCAAGTGCAACATGTGCACAGCTGGGCCTAGGTCAGGGGACCATGCTGGGAGCCCGCTTGCTTTCGGAGATTTGATGTTGCGAGAAAGATGCTGTGCAAGCTCAGACTCAAACTTTCTGATGGCGCCGTCTTGCCCGCTTTCGTTGGCAAAGGCTCTCTACCAGCGCGCTCGCATGGCGCTTACCTTGCGAGGCGTGGCAGTTGAAGTTCGCAATCGCGACAGTTCTCTTTTCCAAGCTTGGCCATGTCAAGACGCGGTAGATTTGTGCCTTGAGATCACTTCTTGGCTTCATGCAAGCTTTTGAGTCCAGCTCATGTTAGGCGAACTCCACTTACCCAGAAGATCAGATTTGTTGATTGTGGAATGCTGGTTTATAAAAGAGTCTGAATCTACACATATCCACAATAACAGTAGCACGACTAGCATTATAAATGCAATTACTATTTGTACTTGTGTTAGTGATTATCAATACTGTTATGTATATTGTTACTATTTGTGTTATGATTACTGCTGTTAAAGCTATCATTCCCTCTATTGCTACAAGTAGTATTCTTGCGGTTATTCCTATTGTTGCGATCAGCACAAGTGTGGCTTCGGTTATCGGTTTTTGTTATTGCGACTGTTATTAGTGTTTCTGCCATTGCTATTATTCCTACAAAGAGTTACCAGACACAGACACGCACACGCGTGCGCACGATAGTGCTATGGTCATTGTTCTGACTTCTATTGTTTACTACGATTACGATTATCACCACGACGACGACGACGACGACGACGACTACTACTACTACTACTATTACTACTACTACCACTACCACCACCACCACCACCACCACCACCACCACTGCTACTACTGTTATTTCATTGCGGAAGAGGAGGCTGCGGGGCCTGCGTTTCTATTTTTAGTGGTTTTGCGTGTTTCGAGAGGTTGTGTGCGGGTTTCTGTGTCATTTGGCCGTTCGTTTGGCGCGAGCGCGTGCATCTCGTGAGGCCTGCGCTTTTGCAACCCACTATTTTCAGTCTCAATCATTACTAATACTATATTTACTGCTATGACATTATTCTTATTATTGTTCGTAGTATTACTATTTCTACTAGTCTACGAATATTAATGCGGTTGCCACTGCTGTTGCGATCATTCTGATTTGCACGGTTCTTATTCGTACTATCCGTATACCGATTAGGACAATTTGACTATCATCATTTTTCTTCGTGTTCTCATAGTCATGGTTATCATTGTAGTGATGATCATTGTCAGTACTTGCGAACAGACTTCGATGCCTC